CCGGGGTCTTCACTGATACGTGTTGGCAAATCGAGAAAATAATCGATTTTCATGGCTTCTACTTTTTAGGCTCCCCCCCACCCCCCCAAAAAAAAAGCAACTATGCTCCGTATGAAAGTAGTTTTAACTAAATTTGGCCAAAGAATATTCAATAGAATTGTTAAACAAATAAAACTGGCCACAAGGCAACAGCAAAAATTTTCACGCACCAAGGTGACAGATACAGCATGGGACAGCGGCCATGTGCCTGCCAATGAACAGGCAGTGCATCCAAAATGGTATAACGAGTGCATTTATTCCATACGCACAACTAATTAAAACAAACAACTATGCATTGGCAATATTGATTTTGATCACAACACCATTGAAGAATTATTAGTATTTAATTATTATTAATTCCTTGAATGAATAAAAATAATAAAGCCTACAAAGTTCAGCGGAATTGCTGCAACTAAAAAAGCAAACATTTTGTTTCGAGCAGCTAGCAGTGAGAGAATGTTTTCTTCAGGACTTGGCTCATTTTTCTTATCCGCCCTTTTATTTTATTTTTTTTTCGTGCCCCTGGGAGACTGGACTTTCATTTTCTATCCAGCCTCTTTTTTGAAAAAGAAAAAAAAATGCATGATCACAAAATGATTTATTACTGTAACGAACTGTATTCTATTTGTTTTAACATAGCGCACACGTAGATTAAATACTTTACCCACCTCTTCCTGTTACACACGTGGAGTACAAGCGCCGCACAAACATGCAGGCAGGAATTGGATTGTGAACGTTGTCAGGTTTTTTTTTAAATATAAATAAATGAAAACCTTTTCAAATATAAAATTTAAAAAGTGCAGGGGCTAAACTGCTGCTACACAGATTTCCGATGCTGCTAATATCACCCCATAGCCTCGGTGTCTTGTCGTTCCTGCACCCGCTTGGTGAAATGTGAAGGTTTTATGAATAAAGACAAGTCTTCTGGGAGCAGAAAATTATATTTCTTTCGTTGAACTACGAATACGGTAGCTATGAACCTGTTTTTAAAAAAAAATTATAGTGTAAAGATGTGCACCATTGTTGGTTGACCAACAGGTGGAGACATTTCTCCCCCAGGTTTCTTGGACTGAATCACCCTGCCACCAAACCAAACACTTATTGTTCTCATCTTTTTTTTTTCCAGTAACAAATGTTGATGTCACAGCTACAGACCTGAAAAGCATTTCCACCACTGCTCAGACAAAAGGTACTCATCAAACTAGTGATACTATGTGCCTAATTTTAACTGTACATTCTGGATGAGAGGGAAAAAAAACGTCTTGAAAAATGTGATTATAAATGTGTCTTTCTGTGCAGCTCTAATGGCTATTCGTGTGGTGGATGGATACGACAGCTGCCAGGGTCGTGTAGAAGTGCAGTACGATGATGTATGGGGCACAGTATGTGACGACGGCTGGGACATGGCCAATGCCATAGTGGTGTGTCGGCAGCTTGGCTGTGGCATGGCTCTTGAAGTGAAATTGCAGGCCTATTATGGCTATGGTACAGGTCCCATCCTGCTGGACAATGTACATTGTACTGGTGCAGAAACACATCTCTCCATGTGCGCCCACTCCGGCTTGGGTCAACACAACTGTGGCCATCATGAGGATGCTGGAGTTACCTGTACACGTAAGGCTTGACTATTTAACATGGGGTCAGTGGACCACAGTAAGTTAAGAAAATGAAAATACGACTGAGCATAGGGTTTGTCTACATCTCCTTTATGATTATTTAACGTACACACACGGCACATCTTTTAGGTATTAATGTACATTTAAATATAATACCACATTGATGAAACTGACATAGTCGTATATCAATCCCAATCAGATATTAGCATATTTTAGCCTATGACAAAATACCGTCAATCGAAAATCATGCCATTGTGCAGTGAGTGGTCAAATTTCGTGCCCAGCACAAGTCTAGCATGGCGAGCTGTTGAATTCTACGCAGAGGCAGGTTCGACCGAGTGTTGGCATTTTCAGAGAAGTCCCTACCCGCCGCTTTGCTGCAGCCAGCGGGATGATTTCAAAAATAAAATAACGATGAGCATAATAAAAATGCAGTAAATAAGCTGATTTCTACAAACGTTCAAAGGATTTGACACACTCAGGTCAAATATTATTAATGAAACAGCACACCTGTTGCTCAGCTGTGTTTCTATCCACCTCCATCACCATCAAATTCATCAAAATAGTGTTCGACAAGCGGTCTAACTTGCGCCAAAAGACCGACTTCCAGCCACCAAATTGTCATGCATGCATGTCAAAGAAAACGCACTCGCTACACCAAGACGGCCAGCGTGGCACAAGAACAGTCTGCCAAACTTCAGTCGCAACGAGGCCTGCACCGGCAAGAGAATAAAGATGTGGATGTTTTCACACTTGAAATCACAGCCCATAGAGTACCTTCTAAAGAGCACTGACATTCCACTCACATTTAAGTTTCAATATTAAATGACAGGCAAAGTCGTGATATTTGTCAGTAAATACAAAATGCAGATAACAGTGGCCTCTTTCTTTTTTCCCCCTAGCGGTTACACCCTTCACTGATTTTACCCGTGACTTTAGAGCAACAGATGAGATAGCCTCCGGGAATCCCACCACCTCCACGCCATCTACTGAAGGCAAGTCTACACATCATTTATACATTATCATGAAAATTTGCTTGGCTAATTGAAGACCGTTTCTTCTCTCTGTAGGATCACTAAGGCTGGTTGATGGTCAGCATGAATGCGAAGGTCGCTTGGAGATGTACCTAAATTCTAAATGGGGCACAGTGTGTGATGATGCATGGGACATCCCCGATGCCAAGGTTGTGTGCCGACAGCTTGGCTGCGGGGAGGCTATCGCAGCGTGGGGGGAAGCCCATTTTGGTCAAGGAACAGGAACAATCCTATTGGACAATCTCAAGTGCAACGGTACAGAAGCCTCGCTGCGGAATTGCTCCCATATATCCTGGGATGTGCACAACTGTGACCACTCAGAAGATGCCGGTGTCACTTGCTCGCTGTCATGATTTTAAAAGAACCACCCTTCCAGATTGGGTGAAGTAGTTACACCAATACTGGACTCGTGTACAATATGTAAATAACAGCTGTTGTATCGCAAAGGGAATATTCTGCTACCACTGGAATTCATGCACCACGTAACAACTAGTGACAGTATACAATGACACCTCAGAAATAGTAACTTCCGATGTCTCTAAAGCACTTTACAACTCGCTTGAAGTTGGAATTGTATGTAATGTAAATTTTGGACTAAAATGCGAACAAAATATATAGTTGGAGAATAATTATGGCATTTACATGTAAAACGTCACACAACATCGCAGACCAAGTCCAGTATTCTGGAATGAGAAAATGACTAACTTATATTTTATTCTTTGATGGAGTTGGAATATGTTCAACTCTGGTAGAATGCTCACAATATATGTGATGAACACAGATGATTTGATGAAGAAAAATTTTACTCTGGTCGCCAATCGCCATAGATTTGGTCTCAAATACGATGTCATCACATCATACATTTCTGTGTAAAATTCTACACATGACAATGAATGGAACACTTAAAAGAACAAGGGAAAGAGAAACCATAACAACAACACTTAGTGAAAATATAACCATGCATGAATTACCGGCTTGTGAATATATTGTGTCGTCTGTTTTGTGAAATCTCGTAGACATACGTGTATCGCAAAAGAATCCAAATAAATCTTATTTTTAGATATATATTATCTTTTTGATGTTCAATTGAGTCATTATTGTGTTGTCAGTCATAGAAGCATCTTCTCATATGCATATGTTTTATTCAGAATATTGATTATTAGTGGAGCACAATCTAATTGTTTCATTTCCTTACACTACATGTTTAAAAGAGGGGAAATATTCCGACAGAGCTAGAACGGAGTGCTCACGAAGGGTTATTACATCACTATCGGAACAGTAGTTCATTTGATCAAGCAGGATGGGTTTGTCGATTTATTCCAACAGATCCATCCATCTACAGTGTACTTCTTAGTACCAGTGTGGGACAAATAAAGAATATCTTATCTTATCTTATCCAGGTTTGGGTTGCAGCAACTTTAGCATAGAGGGCCAGACTTCCTCCTCCCCAGTCACTTCATCCACCTCTTCCGGGGGGATGCCAAGGTGTTCCCAGCCCAGTGGGGGTCTTCCCGTGCTCAGAACATCTCACTGGGGAGGTGTCCAGAAGGCATCCTAATCAGAGCTTCCTCGTCTGGTTCCTCTCTATGTGGAGGAGCAGAGGCTCCACTTTGATCCTTTGGGACCTCTGGGGATCTGCCACTGAGGAGCTTTTGAACCACCTTGGTGACCTCAACCCCAGACATAGGAGAACTCACATCAGAAATCCTAATATTCTGCTTCCTCATGGGAAGGCATGTCAGTGAAACTGAGGAGGTGTTCCAAGTATTCCACCCACTGACTCACAACATCTCGAGGTTAACAGCGCCCTAGCCCCACTAAACTCAGTGTTGATGGTGCACTGCACCTCCCTCTTGAGACACCGAATGGTGGACCAGAATTTCTTCAAAGCCATTCTGAAGTCATTCTCATGGCCTCATCGAACTCCTCCCGAGGTTTTGGCTCATCCACCACCAAAGTTGCATTCTGCTTGCCCAGCCAGTACCACAGTATTGTATATATGCTACGTGACGATAAAAAATGATTTGACTTCTATTGAAGCACATGTCAGCCTGTGGCATTTTACTCTTAAGGAGTTGAATCAGTACTTTTACTTTTGTCTTTTTTTAACACAAATATCTGTACTTCTACTTTAGAGGGTGAGCACTTTTAATACCTCTGTGTATAACAATGACTTTACCACGTTACCTTGTAGTCGTAGTAGTTGTAACGTAATACAGAGGCGGGTTGCCAGGTCCGTTACATCACGACACAAGGACACGCCCAGGTGGGCGGTGACAAGGCCGTGGAAAGTGCTCCGAGTGGGAGGGGTGTCCCGTCGGCAGGCCCCACAGAGTCAGACAGCAGGCAGCAGCTGCAGCGAGAGGAGACCACCGCATTACGCTCTCCATTTAAAAAAAGAAGACACGCACACACCCTCATACTCACAGCGACACATTTCTTAGCTTTAGACGTACTGTGCACAAAACGACAGCACGCTCAACATCCGACATGGTGGACCGCGAGCAACTGGTGCAGAAGGCCAGGCTGGCCGAGCAAGCTGAGAGATATGACGATATGGCAGCTGCCATGAAGTCGGTAAGTCGCCCTTCCCACGATTGACCTTTTCTTTTTTTCCGCTTAATAGAATCATTCGTGTTAACCGTACGCATACATGTGCGCTGCGCTTGTATGAGCAAAAGCACGCCCATTACGCTCCTGGGCAGGAGCGCAAGGTGTCTTTCGTGGCATACATGTCCCTATTTAATCCAAATGAAATTGGTGTATGAAAGTTCTAATTAAAGACCGCAAATTTACGAACAAATTACCAGTGAGCCTGACAGCATGCGGTTCAATTACGATTCGGACAACGTTATTTGGTTCGGGGGGGCTGGCAAGGCCCGTGAAGCCATGTTCGCATTATAGCTTTGACATAATGTGAGAAGCGGGGCGGGGGGAACACCGCGATACGATTTGGCTCATTTAGGGTCCAATCATTCATTTGGAGTATTAATAGTGCTGGTAGCGGTCTGTGGTCGTGAGAATGCGGACCGCTTGATCTTGGGGCGGTGCCTTTCGGTCAGGCTCCCTTTTTACGGTCTCTGTGCGTGGTCGTGTAGGCAGCCCCCCCCCTCTCCCCTCCCTCTGACACACACACACGCACACTCCACGCGCAAACCATCTCCACCCTGGAGTGACCAGATGAAAAGGCGTCTAATGCAATGGTTTAAAATGACAGCTCATCGAATACTGTTCAGGGTGCCCAGTGGCAGGGTTCGGTGGTTGCGCGCTGATCAGGTTCCCGTGTCGACGGTTGCCGTTTACATGATGCTGAATTGGCATCGACTGAAAATGATTTAGCAGTTTTTCACGAGGCGGGTGCGCGTTTGGCGCATAAGGAAGAACGATATCGGCTCAAGGTTGGTCGCAATCGATTCTGGCGCAGATGCGCGCAAGATAAGCGCCCTTTTTCGGAGACGTGGGTGTTGGTGTTAGCGCAGCTTCCCCCCCCTCCTCCTCTCCCTTTCCATCTTTCTTAATTGTCGTATTGCAGCAAAAAAATGGTAGAGCTGTCGCATGATGGAAGGCGCAGCCGCAATAATCGATGTCTTATGTGGCAGCCGCATATCCGCGCACCCTCGGCCCTCCTCGGCTCTGCAGCCATCGAGCAGATCCGCACAGAGGCGTGCCGCAGCATCTGCCAAGATGCAGCGCAGGCCCACCCGTAGTGCACCATTTCACGAGCAGCATATTGTCTGAATAACTACCGTAGCTACTGTCTTGACAAGCTGCTCCTTGAAATATGACAATTATATCAGAGGGCTTTAGACACCGAGAACTCAACAAACATGTTTTATCATTCCAGCGAATAGAATATCTAATTGCCAAAGTTGGATGTGCCCTGAGAAACTGAACATACAATCATACCGCAAGCCTATGAGTACAAGGCAGTGTTATGACATACGTATGCAAAAAGAACACGACAAGACACTACATTTTTCCATGCATTGCGTTATATCTGTTTTCTTCCAAACATCAACATGTAAGGTTGACATGTTAGTTGTCCACAATGTTACAGGGACTGTGGCTCCACCCCGTTCCATTTATGCAGAGTCAGAGGGAAAGTGGTCTGTCCCTCACCCTGCCAGTGTCTTCTCTGCAGCACTGGGCAGAAGGGGTGTGTCTGCACTCTGCAGCCTCACCCAACATTTAAAGTGGGGAATCCCTTGCCGCTGTAGACATGGCAACCGGCTTGACGGAAAACAAAAACTGAGGTTAGTCAGGTTCGGGATTCAAGGAATGGATCCACAACCTATGTTCATCTGCTGACTCAGGGCCGGCCTTAACCAGTGTGGCGCCCAAGGCACGATTTTATATGGCGCCACCGTTTGACGATTTACAAAAAAAGTCCAATTTTTAACATTGCCTTTTTTTTTCCATAAAATGACATCACTCAGTTTAAAATATAAAATGAAACATTCAATAGTTTGGCAGTCCCTCTAGAATTTCCATTCCTTACACTAGTCACTGGTGCATTAAATACATTTATGTGAAATAGACAAAAGTACCATGAGAAAATGTTTTAGTGCAACTATATGAAAGTAGCAACAAGAAACATAATACATTTTTTGTGTATGTGTGTGACAGCTTTAGATGCACTTGTTTTTTTCTCCACAACAAATGAGGTTGTCACAACGTTATAGTTCAAACATTAAACAGTCAATGTATTTACATGTTCTCATTGCCCTTTAATATAATTTTTTTCAAGTAAAAATTTGATTTCAAGGAAGGAACTATGTAATTGATTTCTATTCATATCCCATTGAAGTACACCGACCACCATCATCCATTTAGAAATACACAGCAACTGAGGCGGGCACTCAAAAATTAATTCAATGCAGGTGACGCACAGCCACTCTGCCTGGGCAGGATTGCTGATTTCAAATTAATTCACCTCGGTCGGGGGTCGGCAACCCGCGGCTCTGGAGCCGCACGCGACTCTTTAGCGCCGCCCTAGTGGCTCCCTGGAGCTTTTTCAAAAATGTTTGAAAATTAAAAAGATGTTGAAGGGAAATATATTTTTTTGTTTTAATATGGTTTCTGTGGCTTATTGTGTATTTGTAGCAGACATATTCATTTTGATAGTAGGCTAATATCGATACATACAGCATGTGTTGCCTTCATTGTAAGGCTGATATAAGGGTTTTCATTTTTTGCTCCAGACGTATTTGTTTTTTTGGTTCAATGTGACTCTTTCAACATTTTGGGTTGCCGACCCCTGACCTAGGTCTATGCCCATTGAACAGTTTATCTTGATTTCAATGAATTCCTCTTCCCTTTGAATTGACATTTTGAATTAGTCACAATAATCTGTTTCAATCTAATTATTGTGAAGGTTAATTTTCAGCCAATTTTTGGCACCCACGAGAGTCCACGGCGAAAGAAGAAGTCGCTACATTTGATTTTTCTTTTAAGTAGGGCCGAGAAGTGATTTTCATTCAAATGTTTGAAGGTAAGTAATTAAGTACTGCTTCAGCATTGGTTCGTGATAGACAATTTAGCGTTCTGACTTGTGCACAAATTCAACTGAAGGAGAAGTCCTAAATTGTCGCCGGTTTTGACTGCAGGCATGCAGACGTCTCAGTCATGATGTGCAAGGATGTTAGAGTGGGCTTCACCAAGTATATAGAGTATAGGCAAGCCAATGCCTATATTTGATGATGACTACAGTTTTCAGTGTGCACTTTGGTCTTACTCTTAATCGGCGAAAAAAAAATTAACATTCTATTTATTATTTAAGGAAACATGGAACTTTCGATGTGGGGTCACCATAACATTTTTGACTGGCAACTACATTCTAATGTATCGTATCTAACGTATTGTATTGGTGTCATGTCAAAAGTGACATGAGATGGAGCAACAGCTTCGGTGTTACACATCTTTTACTTGGCCATTAGTCATGCCCCTGGTATGCTTCAAGTCTTCTGCTGATCCTAAGCGACCCAACTGGTATTGAGGTTGCCCTCCTCAAGTGGTGTGGGAAAAGCCCCCAGACCTTATTGCCTGCACACCTGATCAGTAAATTAGCTGCTAAGATCACAAACGGCTTTGAAACAGACGATCTGAAATTGTTTACGTTTAAAAATGAACAACTAAACCCCTGCTATGGTTATGCGGCTTGAACTGGATTTCTCAAGTGTAATGACTCCTCAAACAATAAGCCGCCCTAGGAAAAGGGGGTTGTCACCCTAGAAATGCCGGTGATCTTACATTTTGAAGAAGTTGGCAGTGGTTAATGTCGTCTTGTTTTGTTCAAGAAGAGACAGGAAGCAAACCATTTCCACGATATAAACCAAGGTCTTAGACGAATATGATCTCCATTCCAATTTCAGAAAATCACAAAGGACAGTGAGATAAAGTAATTAGCCAACTACCTACACATGGTGAGACTCGGTTTAAATCTCTGCAAGATTTACCGTATTTTCCGCACTATAAGGCGCTTCGGAGTATCAGGCGCACCTTCAATGAATAGCCTATTTTAAAAGCGGTTTCAAATATAGGGCTCACCGCGTTATAAGGCGCATAGATAGAAGCTACAATTGTGGCTGGAGTTGTGTAATGCATCCACTAGATGGAGCTACGCTAAAGAGAATACAGTACAGTTTCACAACTGCTGCAGCTGTAACAAAGCGCTTTACAGAACCTTTAAAATACTACGTCGAAGAAATCTGAATACTGACCCATATATAAGGCACATCGGATTATAAGGTGCAATGTCGGCTTTTGAGAAAATAGAAAGCTTTTAGGTGCGCTGTATAGTGTGTAAAATACGGTACATTTTCATAGAAACATGAACAGGGAAAATTGCACTTCAAAACTATTTATTTTTTTAAATACTTCTTGTCCTTCTACTTCTCCCTTTCATAATTTTGCTGCTGTAAATTGGGAATTTGTCCACTGTGAGACAAAAGTTTTCTTATCTTATTCTTTGTCCATTATGTACACTCTCTTCTAACGGGAGACGACATGAACATGCTCTCAGGATGCTGCCAGGAGGAAAGCATTTTTCGGATAAATTCGAAAATAGCATCTAGAGATGCAGGTGGGCAAGGCACAAAAAGACATGGAGACAAGAACTTCAGCCAGCACAACTGTCAACATTGACTATGTTTCCTTGCAATCAATAACCCTTTAACCGGTCATGTAAATACGCTCAAAAACCCAAACATGCTCTCATTTTGGGTTTTTAAAAACCCGAATAAGACCCCTGGGCTAACCATTTTCTAACCCAAATATTTGATCATATATGCGATCGGAATACCTCCACAGAAAGGGACATTGGTTTGTGTTCCGCTCTAGCCGCAGGGACTCTTAGTCGTACGATTACAGGAAGTACTTGTCTGTGCGGCGATACCCCTTACCCACACGTATGCACGGTATATATGAATCGAGAATCAAAAGGCCCCTCGCAGCTAAAGCCATAGGGCAGTCATCTTGCATGGTCACTGTTACTGATAACTTGTTTTTTTTGGGGGTTTTTCCCCGCTGAAAACACTGTTAGCAGTTCATGTTTTACGCTAGGATTTTCGTATGGAGTAATGAGAGCATGTCAAAGAACGAACTTCACTACTGTTTAGATCGGGATATTCCTGTTTAAAGGACTAACTGTGTTCGCTCACACACGTAAACGGACTATCCTGAATGTTTCAGAAAGAAATTTTGCACATAACCCAAATATTGACTGCATATACCGGAAAATGTAGTCAGTGAAGGAGAAAGGTAAGGCTGACAAGACCACATTAAAATAATGGGAATCAGAAGAAGCAAATAGAGGGAACCAATGGCAGACACGAAGGATCATAAAGACACAATAAATCCACCAAGCACACCCTTAGACCAACCAAAGTCCAACAGAAATTCTAAAGTCCACAAGGAATTGCAGCCTTCATATCTTCATTCACTTATTACACACCAGCACATCTTTACATAAACCTGAATCAAACAATCATGAAAATCTGTCAATTAACACTGGTTAACAAATATTTACAGCAGATAAACTTTGACAGGATTTTTTTTTTTTTGTTTAGATCGGGATATTCCTGTTTAAAGGACTAACTCTGTTCGCTCACACACGTAAACGGGCTATCCTGAATGTTTCAGAAACTGAAATTTTGCACATAACCCAAATATTGACTGCACATACCGGAAAATGTAGTCAGTGAAGGAGAAAGGTAAGGCTGACAAGACCACATTAAAATAATTGGAAACACAAGAAGCAAATAGAGGGAACCAATGGCAGACACAAAGGATCATAAAGACACAATAAATCCACAAAGCACACCCTTAGACCAACCAAAGTCCAACAGAAATTCTAAAGTCCACAAGGAATTGCAGCCTTCATATCTTCATTCACTTATTACACACCAGCACATCTTTACATAAACCTGAATCAAACAATCATGAAAATCTGTAAATTAACACTGCTTAAATTTTTACAGCAGATCAACTTTTTGACAGGATTTTTTTTTGGGGGGGTGTTTATTCCTGAATCTACCTTTTTTTTTTGCTTTTGAACAGTGTTGAGAAGTGGTTCGCGTGGTTGCCTCAGTCTTGAGAGCTTCTGGTTTTAAATCAACTTATGCCTTCCTGTTTGGAGTTTGCATTTGTAGATTTCTCCGGGAATTCCCGCTTCCTCTTCCGTCTTCCTCTTTCTTTGGACTGGAAGCAATACAGATACTGGCTTGCACACTAATCTTATTTCTTTAAAGTTATGACTCATAAAGTAATACAGTATATGACCCCGTGTGCAAGTGCGATCCCTCATTCACTTATTACACACCAGCACATCTTTACATAAACCTGAATCAAACAATCATGAAAATCTGTAAATTAACACTGCTTAAATTTTTACAGCAGATCAACTTTTTGACAGGATTTTTTTTTGGGGGGGTGTTTATTCCTGAATCTACCTTTTTTTTTTGCTTTTGAACAGTGTTGAGAAGTGGTTCGCGTGGTTGCCTCAGTCTTGAGAGCTTCTGGTTTTAAATCAACTTATGCCTTCCTGTTTGGAGTTTGCATTTGTAGATTTCTCCGGGAATTCCCGCTTCCTCTTCCGTCTTCCTCTTTCTTTGGACTGGAAGCAATACAGATACTGGCTTGCACACTAATCTTATTTCTTTAAAGTTATGACTCATAAAGTAATACAGTATATGACCCCGTGTGCAAGTGCGATCCCGTTTCCTGTACCACAGTATAATCAGACTTCCTCCCCCTCCAGCAGCCCATATTGCCTCCACACTCCACACATTGCTTTTGAAATGATAAACCTGTCATTGTAACTTTTCATAAGCCCGGCGGCTGTACTAACAGGAAATGTCGTTCGCACGCGGCAACAAAGTGACACTTGAAGCGCCGCCATAACTCGAAAGTGTTTGCTACTCCTCCTCCCCCTCTTATTAGCCCTTTTGTGGCTAAAGCAACAATCCCCATTCACGCCGCCAGTGACGTCAGGTAGTCCGCTGTGCCTTTGTGCTCTGCTGCCTGAAAAGAGGGTCAGCAGGGGGGCTTGTCACATCAGCTTAGGAGAACCAACAGACTTGGAGCAAATGAGCAAGGAAAGCCAGAGAGGAAGCGTGGAGTTGGGAAGAGCTGGGAGAGCGTTATGACGCCTTTGCTCTATGCATCAAAACCTCAGTAAATGAAACGTGAGACGGCGGCTTCACATACACGCGCATCTCCACCACACTCCCCTTCTTTTTTTTTTGGGCCGTTTCCTGTGTACGTTTAATGACCAAGAGAGCTGTCGGAGAGGAAGCGATTGATTGCCCCCAGTTGTTTGGAGGTTCGGGGCGCCGTGTGTAAAGGATGAGTCAGGAGAGAGCAGTCGCGATTGATGAGCATTTATGGGTAGACAGAGCGCTATTGTCATCGCGCCGCCGTGGCTTCCGTCAAGGCTTTCTGCTCACCCCGAAGCCTTGAACACAAAGATAGCCATCTTGTTTTCCTAAGCCTCGTCACTTCGGTGCTTGGCTCATTCTTTTGTTAGCATTCGGTATCAGCCAGGTCCTACTCTACATGAATTGTAATTGAATGGAAACGATGCATCCATCGGGCAGTATGGAACCGCAGTCATCGATGTGCTTCGACAGTGAGCTATGGGGGTTGGGTGACTTTCCTCTGTGCTTGGAAGTGAGCTCATTATGCAACTGATGTCACTTTATTGTGTTCCCTGCCTTTATGCTCTTCCTGTACAGAGGTCATTTTATTTACGGGTGTAAAAAAAAAAAAATGGACACATTGTTGAGAAAAACTAGATAAGCGTAAAAATTATACTTAAACTGATTTACGTTTCATCACGCGACAGACTTAACGATATGAAATACCGAGACTTTTGGTCTAGCTTGAATTTTATGTCTCACCACTTCAAAGTGAATAATAATAGATGACTTATTATATATCCGGTTAATGGATGATGAAACGGCCTCTCCAAATCAACGTTGAACTAAAAGAAAAGTCAACCCGAATGGCCTTTTGATAAACGTACGCATGTTTCGGTGTTGTTGAGAATGTATCATGTTTTTTTTTTGTATATCATTTTTGGAAATATCGATAGATCATTGTACATGCAATGCTCAAATCCTACAGGGGCATTTAAAAAAATGCAGCATGGTGCACGACTTTAATGCTAATTCAATCCACGTTCCATCCCAGGGAAACATACAATGACATTCAATTAATATGAGCTTTGTTCCTAGCAAAAGTCTGTTGTTGTTTAGATTTGAGGTCTTGGAGCTTTTAAAAAGAAGTTTTATTTTAAATGGGTTGTATCTGAACCCCCCAAAAAGCGAATACAATGAATCGTCACTGCATGAGCGGGCTGAAAGGTATGAGAAAGGGAATTGGTTTATTTGGAGGGATTTCCACCCACACTGCTGCGGCTTTGTCCACACCAACAGCCATGTCAGCATCCTTTCCACTAGAGATTATAACTCTGACAAGATTTTGCAGTTGCTATGGAAACAGCCGCTTCTACCATCAGATTAGCTTTTCCTCCTACTTTTGCTTTAACATTACAGGTATAACCTCACTGCGAGGCACAGCTCAGTTTAAAACAAACAGCTTTCCTATTTTAGCAAAGACTTCAATCGCGTTTCACATCCACGCCGGTGTCTTAAGAGACCGTCGGAATGACGCATCTGAATGCTCATATTGCCTGCGGTAAACCTGAAGGACACCCGCTTTCCTCCGTTCGTGATGCCGCTTGACAAACTGATGCACTTTGACACTGAAAGAAGAAACCTCACATGTCATCCCTCAAGTCTAGCTCACACTGGTTGTTCGGAACCAGCGGAAGCGCGTTTCAGAATCACCACACCCGGTGGAGTCACTCCGGAAGTGACATCACGCGGCCGAAAATGCAGTCTTCGGAGGATTTTGGATATAGGCATAGTAAAGGGCAAAGTTAGCCCCGCCCCCCACTTCCTGCTCTGGTTTGCTCATGGAACAGAATTTGCTTCCGAAAAAAAAAAAAAGTAACAACAGGCTTTTCACTTTGAAAAGGTCTGTAAAGATTCCTCTGTCACACAGTCCCAGTGGGGTAAAAGGATTAAATCCCTTAGACAGACACGGGCCTGTCAAAACACTACAAAACAAGCTTTGAGCAATGACGACAGCCAATCAGCATTCATCACAGACTATGATGTCAGTGTGCTGAGGGCGTGGCTTCCGCTTCTGGATGGCAGTAGTACAGTACTGGTGTTAGCAAATCAAATAAAATAAATAACTAAGCTCCAAATAAAAAAAAATATATCATTAGAATTGAAAGATGAGTTGTGGAACCGAAACAACTGTTAATCGGTATTCTGTTCTATTGATTTTGTCTGTCAGGTCACAGAGCTGAACGAAGCACTTTCCAATGAAGAGAGGAACCTGCTCTCCGTAGCCTACAAGAACGTAGTCGGCGCGCGGCGTTCATCCTGGCGCGTCATCTCCAGCATTGAGCAGAAGACGTCCGCCGACGGTAACGAAAAGAAGATCGAGATGGTGCGGGCCTACCGGGAAAAAATCGAGAAGGAGCTGGAGACCGTTTGCCAGGATGTGCTCAACCTCCTCGACAACTTCCTGATCAAGAACTGCAACGAGACGCAGCACGAGAGCAAGGTCTTCTACCTGAAGATGAAGGGCGACTACTACCGCTACCTGGCTGAGGTGGCCACCGGCGAGAAGCGAGCCGCCGTCGTCGAATCCTCCGAGAAGTCGTACAGCGAGGCCCACGAGATCAGCAAAGAGCACATGCAGCCCACTCACCCCATCCGCCTGGGCTTGGCTCTCAACTACTCCGTCTTCTACTACGAGATCCAAAACGCCCCCGAGCAGGCGTGCCACCTGGCCAAGACCGCCTTCGACGACGCCATCGCTGAGCTGGACACCCTCAACGAGGACTCCTACAAAGACTCCACTCTCATCATGCAGCTGCTACGAGACAACTTGACGCTGTGGACAAGCGACCAGCAGGACGACGAGGGCGGCGAGGGCAACAACTAAGGAGAGTCTGCAACCTCACTTCTGCCGAAAAAACACCACAACAGTCGCGCTCACAAATGACAAAATAAAATAATCCTGAAAAAGTTAGCAATTAAGATAAACAGCGGGTGGGGGGTAAGTGGTGGAACATCGGCAGCCAACGGTATTAACACGGCTGCTGTTCTTTATTTTTCCACAAAAGTTAAAGTAGGAGAAAAGAAGACCTTAGCTTGAGGTATAAACTACAGTTATTCGAAAAAAAAATACATAAAAGAAGAACAAATCCCCCTTCTTGGTAGCCTCTGCAGCATTTGCTAGAATACCGCCGAGAAGCAAGAGGTGTGTCTTTGGCGCCGGCGTGAAGATGGCTGGTTAGAGGCTGGCGTCATTGCGCAAATGAAGCGGAGGTTGTCTTATTGCATTGAATGAGGGGGAGAAGTACCCAGAAATTGAGTTTTGATGTTCTGAGCAACAGGGAAAAAAAATTTCAGTAACCTTGAATGTCATGAACCTTGCTTTTCCCGAGAGGGCAAAGCACACGGATGACAAAACGCGGCTTATAGGGGTGTCTACATACATGCATAATGACGTGACATCTTTAGTTTGCAGCACACTATGGTCGTTGAGTGAAAAGCAGGATGTCTCCGTTATTGAAGATAACATGGAGAAGGGAAAAAAAAGTGTTCTTTTTGTTTTGCTTTGTGTCAGGTGTGTGTCCGGCTAAGTCACACAGTCATACTGTAACTAAATAGAACTTCATAAAGTAAACTTAGTGCAGCTTGTCCCTATCATGTGCTGATGTGCTTTATTGAATAAATTAACTGTTTTTGGACACCTAATCCTTAGTGTCAGTATTGTCGTCACTTATAATAGCCTCAACTGGCTCCTGTTTGGAGAAAAACGATTCTAATCACAGAAGTCACATAGCAAAAAAAAAAAATATTAAAAATAAAGAAGTGGAGTTCGGTAGTGGAGAACGATCGCGAGGCTAGAAAATGGTTCCACCCTTACTCTTCAGTTCGTCGTCTGAAATGGCTTCTGGAACCACAAAGCTGAAGTATTGATGATGGTCAGAGTTCATGCAATGTGACCAGAAGGCTCCATTTGGGGTTTGTGGATTCACTTTATCTGCAGTTTCTTTTGCCTATGACAGTATTTTGTTTCTTCGGTGTAAGATGAGAACTGCTCCGGTATTCTCCATATTACGGTATTGTGCATGCTGGTGATGTATTTATAGAATAGCTTCAATTTATTAACTTATACTGTAGATGTTATGTATTCATAGGGGTATTGGAAAATACTAGACCTTATTTCAGATGATTTTCTATTTATTTCTTTTTATCGCAATTGTTAGCTAGACCTTCTTTTAAAATGTGTTTTCTTTACTCCATTTGCTGAAGTACGCTATACCAAAACAGTAATTGTTACCAATAAATTGACCTGTTACAGACATTACGAGGGTGACATGCAATTATTGGGAAGAGGACGATAACGTGTGAGATGTTTGACACTGACGCGTCTCATAAAGTCAAACGTCCACAAGTAATAAAACACTGTTTACAGGTTTATAGTCAAATAGCACACACCCCAATATTGTCGCTATTGACTGTGTTTAATCGGGCACCACCACCAAACCTACCTCACCATTAATCTAATCCTAAAGGAATATTTTGTATTGATCGTTTTGGTGATTACAGAATATTCATATTCCAGTCATCGAGCATTGTACAAATGCTAGTCAATACTGTCCATCTATCGATTCCTCACAAACCCAGAATAAAACTTGCAAAACGTTACTTTTTTTTTTTTTTAATGAGCCGTCACATGAAATTTCTCGGTAACCACAAAGACCAAAACAAGATAATGCAGACTTGTACCATGCAGCATTTTATGATAATCATGATAACCTGTCCACTGTAGTAACCGCTGTCCCTGAAATGATTAACTACCAGGAAATTAATTATAATCAATCTTAATGCAAAACAAATACAAGCAATGTATTGATTAAAGTGATGGAAAGAAAAAAGCATAATCTTAAAAACTGGCCGATTCCTAGCTGAGAGGCTCCACCCAGGCTGACTTTATACAAACACGTATAAAAATGAACATTGTGATCCACATTTCATATGTCACTTGTACATTAAACTGTACTAGTAGTAAATGAAACCTTTCTTATCATTCAACCCACATTTGAGTCTCATGAAATAATCACAGTTCAAAGGGTATTTTAGTTCATCAAGTGGTTGCATTAAATAAAATAATCCTAATCCATATCTGTATTTATGGGTTAGGTTGGAATTATATTTCATGCAACCAATATTAAATAACAAAAATTGAATCAATACAAATGCCTTTTTTTTCAGTGTACAGTTTTGAAGTGTCCATCACATTTTGAAACACATTTACAAAGTGATCTGATCTAAATCTTTTTTACTGTCAGCATATTCAGGGCTCCAGATTAATGTTTGTTTTTGTTTTCACTTGGAGCACAGCGGCCCTAACCTGAAGCGCTCATTTTCACTACATTACTGCAAAAACCAAAACTATTCAAAATTACTCATGAAAAAAAAAAACAGCAAATTTTCTGGCCGCACAAACACAAGTAGTTGAAAAAGTTACTTGAACTGACTGAAATTTTAGGAGTGAAATGCCACCATTTAGGGGCATTCTGGAGCCCTAATATCGTCTGCAAATGATGATAAACAGTTCACATCGTGATCATGGTGTGCTCACCAATCAATTTAACCACAACCCTAAAACTCAGTTTCAAGATAAAAAACAAAGTTTCAAGTAACGGATGAATTTACCTTTCCAACGGACGAAGAGCACAGATGGACGGAATAATCAACTCCCAAGGTGACTTTTTTGTCATAATTTCTTCAGTTCTCCTGAGGTGAGGAAGTAAAAAAAAAAAAAAAAAAAAGTAAAAATCCATTAGTCCTTCGAATGAATTGAAACACATGAGGAAAATAAGTGTTTCTGATTTCCTCCTGAAGTGTGTGGGAAAAAAACAAACAAACAAAATTTTAAAAAAAACAGCTGCTTGAAGCTAACTGGCCGGAAGCTAATCAAGACTCCGGTCCTTCTATTGGACGACATATGCCCGGCCTTTGTGCTTGTATTAACCAATCCGCATTTGAGACATCCCATTTGGTGTTTGCTTTTAAGATTCATCTTCCAAGTAATTATGAATTTCAGCACATAGCCATTCCGAACATCTCAACTTGGAGGAGAAAAAGTGACGACTAGAAAAAAGTGCAAATGATCACCACCAGGTGTCGCCACCATTTAGTGTCTCTTTGGAGAACACGGCAGTCCCTTTTCCAGTCCGTGTAATTGAACAACAACCTGTATATTCGTCAATACTGACTGAATTGGAAATACAGAGACGAAACACGCAAAGGAACATGGAAAAGTCATTTAGAGAGAGGAAGGAATGGGGAGGGTTTAAGAAGAAGCCGGCGACTGCTTCTTCACATGAGGCACTTGCCTGGTTTCAAAGCCTTGAGAGCTACTGGTTTGATGGAAATCCGCATGAATCATTTATGCCTGCGTTTAAGTGGAAGGGAAGTGGTGACTCAGAGGAAAAGAGGAAATGTTGAAATGTTAAGTGCTTTGGAGACATCAAGCACAGTTCACGACAAGAGCGGTGGATTGTCATTCCTAAAAACTATCATTTCATTCTCAAATCTTGATTTTTATGCTCTATTTTTTTTTGAATTCTGTGATTTTTGAGCGATACAGCTCAAAATGTCCGTAATGCTTATGAGAAAAGCTGACATTAACGCAGGTCATCTTACAAAATCATATTTCCTATTTCTAGAATTCCAAGGTACTGCAGAAACATCCCAGGCCTCCATTAGATTAGTTTATTTTAGCAGCAAAATATGCGAAGCAATTTACTGACCAAACTGTGACCAAAAGTGAATTAAAAAAAAAAAAGTGGTATTTGTGTTCATTGGTTCGTCCTTGTTCATGGAGGATTGTGGTCTGATAGATGGGCGGTGCCCATTTGAATTCTGGGGAATGAATGGGTTTAAAACCTAACTGACCACAATCCAGATTCTCACTAGAACAAAATGGGTTATTCTTTGCCCCATTTAAAGTTTTGTGTTCTATTTGGTCATTTTTGGCTGGAGGTTTTGTTGACACACATGCACATCAACATTTTTTTTCTTTGAAGAGGGAGGCAGGTGGGAGTGAATTCTAAAGTGGTGATTAAAACATTTTTACAAACGAAGGAGAATATGATGAACATTTAGAATCAAACTTTGAATGTAACCATTTAGAGGAACTATAAAATATATTTGTATTTTTCAGTACCATACTCAAATGTGTTCACAATTTTTTTTTTTACTGCACGTTTAGTTTTTGGAGTGTGAGAGGAGTTAGTAAGAGAATTTTTCTGTTGTATGGGAGAATTTTTTTGGGGTGTGTGGGAGAGAACAAGCAACAGCAAGAGTTCAATTTGTTTGCGTGTGTGTGAGAAAGAGTATTACAGTATTTGTTGGGTGAAGAGGTTTTTTTTTTGAGAGAGAGAAAGTAAATGTTATTTCTGGCTTATTTGACACCTAATAAATAAACACTCATTGTACACCCTAAAAATAACTTTCTTAAGCATACCATATTATACAGAGCGCATTTCTCAGTATATAAAGAAGCTTTAGCAGCTTTTTGCCTCCTGACATGAGGCAACTATCCGATAAGTCCAGCGCCTAAATAAAAATAAAATAATATGCAGAGGCAGTGATTCATGTGTTATCTGCCCTGTGTAACTATACAACATGCTGGAGGCTGAGTGCATAGCAGAGCGCTCTAAAAATAGCGCAGGCCTGCAGCTTCGGAGTCAAAAGTGGGGTTAGTATGTGCATTAGTGGGCTGGCACGCAACATGAACACAGTCAGGGAGGAGGAAGAGGAAGCACGCAGCATGCGACTCCATCACCAGTTGTGTTGATACATCTTTCATTTGATCCGCCTCTGACAGTTAATTCGTCTGCACTGGATGACCTCCAACTGTTCACACTGGCACAATGAGCCCGCTAAACATGCATCACTCTTGTTTTCTATGTACAGGAAGGTCTTAAGAGGTGAACACATACTCGCCTCACACTTCACAGACAATGCGGAAGGGAGAGAAGTTTTTGATGGGGTTAGCTGTGCTTCAAGTATGCTTTCATTTGTCCACATCATTCAGTATCGAACTATTCATTTTCCGTCAAGCTTGTCCTGACTTTGGGCAAATGAGGCAGGGTGCACCTCAGAGTCGTCAACAGCTAATCACAGGGCACATATAAACAAACAACCATTCACATCTACAAGCAATTAAGGCACTTTTCCATTACAGATTCCAGACTGGCCTAACGTCACTCAGCGCCAAATCAAGTGGGGCGTTGATGTGGTGGAACTCCACTCCAAGTCCCATTGCCTGGTTTCGAGCGAACGAGACACAACCTCCCACTGCAAAGATATAGAGTAAACATACAGCATATATAAGTAAACATACAGCATATATAGTACACAAATTGTATTTTTAGAACAATACCTAACCATATTTACAATGTCATATGTACCTGTGGAGGAAATAGCAAAGCTTGTCGTAAAAATGTACACAACATTTGTCGTGTCCATTCAAGTCAATCACGAGTCCTGTCTTTTATGATGACAGGAACGGTGCCGGCACTCATCCTGGTTGTTTGTTGACATTGGTGACCAGTCAAGGGTTTAGTCTGTCTTTCACCGAAGTTAGCTGCGAGAGACTCCAGCTCTAACCTTGCACCCCGCGGGAGAATAAGGAGTATACATTTGGAGGTGTGTGTGTGTATGTAAAAAAATATATATATATATATATATAACACCAGCTACAGGGACTACAGTCTTGACATTTAAATGGCAGATTATGTTTTTCCCCTTTATGTGTATTAACAATCTAAAACAAAAG